TTTTTAGTAGAGACAGGTTTCACCATGTTGGCTAGGCTGGTCTTGAAGGAACTCCTGACCTCGGGTGCTCCCCACTCCTTGGCCTCCCAAAGTACTGGGATTATAGGCATGAGCCACCTCCCTGACCAGAAATTTTAAATACAGTTTTAGAACACTAAAGTTAACAAAATATTAAAAGGGTAATATTTTAGGGTCAAGTGGTGTTTATTCCAGAAATGCAGGGTTGGTTTAATATTTGACAATTGAACAATGTAATTCATTTTCATGAATCAGAAGACTTAATTTTTTGTTCTCTCTCAAATTGGTCTCTATATTCAACACAATTCCAGTCAAAATCGCAACAGGTTTTTTTTTTTTTTTTTAAAAGAAATTGACAAGCTGATTTCAAAATTTATATGGAAATGCCACAGAGTTGGCATAATCAACTTAAAATATAAAAGAACAAAGTTAAAAAACTTTTTTTTTTATAAAACCAAAATAATCAAGATAGTATTGGTACTTGAAACAATAAAAACAAAATGATTAATAAAACAGAATAGAGATTACAGAAATAAACATACACATATATAATAAACTAATTTTTGACAAAGATGGCGAGGCAATTCATTGAGAATAGATAATATTTTGAACAAATAGTCCTGAAACCACTGGATGACCATATGTTAAAAAAGTGAGCTTCAACATATATTTTACACCATGTACAATAATGAGGGCAAAACTGATCATTTATCTAAACACAAGAGCTAAACTTACAGCAGAAAACACAGAAAAAAAACTTGGATTTGTTAAAGGTTTCTTAAATTTTAAACTGTAAAAGAAAAAGACCTTAAGTTAGACTTTAGAAAAAAATTAAAAATACATTGTCAAGAAAATGTAAAGGCTCAAGTTAAAGTGAGGGCATAAAAAAGAAAAATAAAATATAAAGACAAGACACAGACTAATAGAAAATATTTGTAAAATGTATCCAACGAATAATTTATGTTGTTGAATATATAAAGAACACTTGGAACTTAATAATAAGCAGACTAACAACTCAAAATAAGTGCAAAATATTTGAACAGATACCTCATCACGGGCATTAACCATAGCAGATGTTAAATTAATAGTAATAAAGATGTTTAATATTATTAATCATTACAAAAGTGTAATTTAAAGCCATAATAAGATATTACTACACACCCACTAGGACAGCTAAAATTATAAAGACTGACCATACTAAGGGTTGACCAGGATGTGAAGCAGCAGAAACTCTCATGCACTGAAGTTGGGATGCAAAATTATACAGTCACTTTCAAAATCACTTTGGAACTTTCTTTAAAAATTAAATATGCATGACCATCAGATCCATCCATTCTACTCTAGGTAACTATTAAAAGAAATGAAAGTGCATGTCCATGCAAAAAACTATACATGAATATTTGTAGAATCTGTATTTTTCATATCACAAACTTGGAAACAACACCAATGTCTATCAACAGGTCAGTGGTTAAATAAATTGTGCTATAGCTATACGGTAAAGTCCTACTCGATAATAAAATAGAATAGTTATTGATAAATGTAAGGATATGGAACAACCTTATAGTAATACTGAGTGAAAAATGGCAGACAAGAGTACATATACTTTGTTTCTATTTATTTATGACCATTTAAAATGCAAACTAATTTAGAGTGATGGAATACAAATCAATGATTGCCTGAGGAGAAGGCCTGAGAGGCATAGCTGGAAGAAATTGTATTAGATTGGTACAAAAGTTGCCATTGGAAATAATGACACAAACCGCAATTACTTTTGCACAATCCTAGTAAAAGGGCACAAGGAAATTTTGGGGGGGATGGTTGTGTTTATTATCTTGATTGTGGTGTTGGTCTTAGGGAAGTAGGCATATGTCAAATTTCTTACATTATACATTTTAACTATGTGCAGATTTTGTATGCCAATTATAATTTCATTTAATAAAGGTATAAAATGACCATATTTAAAAACAATGTTAAAGATTATACTCAGTTTCATGCAATTATTTTTACTTTAGGACCTTATTAGGGTATCCTTTCATTCCATGGATTCTCTATTTCAACTTTTTCTCTGGGTCATATGCATTCTTACATTTAAGAATGTATTTAAACATTCAATACCTACCACATTTTCTGTAGTAGCACTTGATAAATATTTGTTGAATGAATGAATAAAAATGAAAAACTAGCTAGATGGAAAAATTATTCATTATATATCTTTATTTCTGGAACATATATACTGGCTTTCACGCTAACGGGACTCTGCTATTTTCCCCAACTGGCTAAATACTTAGAATAAATACTGCTTTTCTTTCCCCCCAGTGTTTACTCAACAGCACTTTGGCTTTTTATTCTGTAACATATTTTCTTATTTGTTGAGTCTCTGGCGCATCTCTATGGCTTTTGTTTAACATGGAAAGAGTTCAGTTCTACTGGTTTCAGGTTACTGGGTGATCTTGCTTAGCTGATAGAGGTCTGTGTCTCAGCTGGTACAGAAAATCAAATATCCACTTGGGTGCCTCTTGAATACTTTGTGTCATCCTCATGCAACCACTGAAGAACCAAAGAAAATTTAAAAATTATTTTCAAAAAAAAATTATTTTCCTTGCTTTCCAACTTACTTCCCTTATGGCTCTGGCATAGGGAGAATGACTTTTAGAAGTTTCAGTCTGCCTAGAAATTGTCCAAGTGTTTTTTGGGAAAAACGTGAAATATATTTAAGTGGCAATGAAGTAGCAAGAAACAGTTATAGTTTCAATTGCAGAGATAGTACTCTCATTAAAAGGCTGTAGTGGTTATTTTGTTTTAAAACATGATCGTTGAACAACTCTATGTACAGGACACTGAGCTGTTTGCCATGGAGATCCAAAGATAAGTGGAGATATTTTTACTGCCCTTAAAGATTGCCAATCCATGAGGGTTGAGTGAGTGGCAAAAGGAGGTACATGGTAAACAGTAGATCCAACTCAGGTTTTAGAATGAGAAGGTCTGGGTCTGAGTCCCATCTTAGGGATCTAGACATATTTTTTTTAGGGTAGAAGTGCATCACAGGAAAAGTGAGACTCAGATTTCCCACCGAACCATGGCGTTGTTGTAAAGATCTCATCCTTTCCAGGAAAATAAAACTGCAATATATGGTTATAGTACATGCTACCAACAGGGCTATCAACTGGGGATGGAAGAAAAATTCATCACTGAAGCCCCAGTCTCTGAGCAAGGGACAAATATCTATAGTGAACCTACCCTTGACCATTTCTGTAGGTCAGAGAAAAGGCAGCAAGGCAGCCTGTTGGTTGGTTGACTGTGTTGCTTGAGAGGGGGAGGGAGGATGAGAAGAGAAAAGAAGACTGAATCCAGCTACATTTTCTTACTTAAGGAAATTAGATTAATGAATCATAAAGTTATGGATGAATATTTGTCTCATATATTTTGAGCTGAAACATACTCATTACAGAAACAGTGAGATTCCAATACACAAGCCAGAAACTATGCATCACATTTTTTTTTACCTCAGTTATAAGACTCAGATAAACAAACAGAAACAACCACAAACAGAGCAAGTACCCTTAATCCACAAACCTTCTGTGTTTGATTGCCTCCTGTTGAAAATGTGAAGTGCTATGAGGCCAGTAGACTTCCTTTGTTGACATTTTAACACCAGTTCTTGTTAAGGTAATTGACTCAGCATAGAAACTCAATAAATGTATTGTATTAACAAATGATCCAAATGAAGAATAAATGAAGTAATATATTGTGAAAAGTGTTTTGCAGATTTCACATTGCCACATCAACATTATTAAAACTGCTAAATAGGTATGATTAAATCCAAAAAGCTTTATTTGATTCAAAAAGCTTTTTTTGATTTTTTTTAATGTAAAAAGAATTTAGTAGGCAAAAGAAAAGGAGAGGAAGAAAGTTTTTTTTTTGACAATGAGAACAGAAGGGGTACAAAGTCATGGTGAGGAATGTCACTTGTTCTTGGGAAGGTATAGTAAGAGAGCCCTGAGGGCTCTCAGGTCTCCAAATATTTGTTCCCTGAAACATCAAATTCCATAACTAATCCTCAGTCTCTTAATGCCTCTGACTTGTATTTATTACTAAAATCAGGAGTAAAGTGTTTATTTACTTTCAGATTAAATATTGCTTTATAGGGTAAATCATATAAATATGTCAAATATATGTCAATAATACACATATATATGTCAAAAAGACACATCACTGTAAAAGGTTTATAACAGATTAAAACAATTACGACAAATAAATAAAAAAAATTATCTGCCCCCACTCAACAACCCTACTCCCTTAAACCAATTTATTTTATTTCATTAGTTTACTTTTGTTGTTTCTTCTTGTATTTACCTCTATTATCTTCTAAATAATGTACTTGGTCTTTAATGTCTTGATTTGTTCACTTTAGACATTATCACTTTGACATTGTCCAGAAATTACAGTCTAGCTTTAAGACTGTGGATAAACATTTAGCTCCTTTACCTACCTCAATTCTAAATTTCTCTTTCCTGTATTTTCAATATAGTTACCATTCAGCTTTTTTGTTCCATGAAAAATCACTGGCCATCTTACAACTTTCATCGTTGATCCAAAAAGCATGCCACAAACCCATTTCCTTTCTTGGTTAAAATTTCATGTGCTAGTTTTTCCCCCCATTTGCTTTCTTTGAGGGCATCAATTACCATTTCTTCTATCTAGATGTTTAAATGGCTTTATTCATTACCTGTCAGTAATTTTCTTCCACTCCAAGCATTAGGTGATAGTTTGCCTGGAGACTCCTTCTTAGTGAACTCCTGTTAGTGGCTTTCATCTGAATTAGGTGTTTTCCCAGCCCTGTTTTACAGCCATTATCCAGAAAGTTCTCTTCATTATTCTACCATTGTTGAGCCCTAGTTTTCTGAATTTTGGGTCTTTCTATTTGGTAACTAGAAATTTCAGGAGAGTAAGAAGCTTTTAAAAAGTCAGATCAGGGCCGGGCACGGTGGCTCCTGCCTGTAATCCCAGCACTTTGGGAGACTGAGGCGGGTGGATCACAAGGTCAAGAGATGGAGACCATCCTGGTCAACATGGTGAAGCCCCGTCTCTACTAAAAATACAAAAAATTAGCTGGGCATGGTGGCACGTGCCTGTAATCCCAGCTACTCAGGAGGCTGAGGCAGGAGAATTGCCTGAACCCAGGAGGCGGAGGTTGTGGTGAGCCGAGATCGCGCCATTGCACTCCAGCCTGGGTAACAAGAGCAAAACTCCGTCTCAAAAAAAGAAAAAAGAAAGAAAGAAAGAAAAAGTCAGAGCCCTTGAATGACCTGGCAAAAAAATAAAAATAAAATTAGCAGTCAAGTTTGTACAAAAGATATGAGAGATGGAAGAGATTTGAGAAATAATCGAATCCAATTCTTTCATTCTAGTGATGAGAAAACTGAGGCTTAGGAAGACAAAATGGCTTGCTCAAGATGGCCACATTGGTAGTAGCAGAACAGAAATTCTTACTTGTTGCTGGGTTTAGAACTTTTTGAACACTTTTATCCCACTGATAATCCATTATGCATGTGACGAAAAAAATACTCTCTGTTCTGTTTAGAACATGGAGGTTCTCATCTTTTTCATGAAACTTGTGGCTTATTTTCTGTGTCATATATCACAGTCAGTTCCTCAGGGATATTCTGGTAGATACTATTTTTTTATAGAAGGTTAACAACACTTTATCCCATATTTCTACAGAGAGTCTCCGGCAACACAATGATAGGCCCTCATTTTGAGTGGGTTGGTTGTACGTTTCAGGAAACAATCTGTTAATGTTTCTGAAATCAAACACGCTTACAGATGGATAAATTGGAACTTTTTATTTCATTTATTCTTTTTGTGTGCTTTTTATATGAGACTAAGTAAGGAAATATACAATGTGACTTTATGAATCAACAACTGTTGATAGTCATGAATTGGTCTCTCTAGTGCTGCTTCCTGATAAGCATCATCGCAGCCGAAATTAACATAGCTAGAACTGTTACAAACAGCTGTGCAACTCCAATTAAAGTGTAGCTGCAGATGTTCTATACTCAAAACTACAGCCCTACAAGGTGCCTGCTGCATGGAGTTGATTACATTAAAGCTGTCAGTTTTAGCATGTCTTATGAGTGTTTATACCAGGCAACCATTAGCTGTCACGTATTTACTATGTTGATGTCCAAACTAATTGCAATCATAGATCACATAGCCCAAAGAAGAGAAAAAAAGGGCAATATGAAGCAGATTTACCCTTCACTGAGGCTCATGAGGATTTCCAATAAAGACAGTGAGCAGTTAGAAGCATCCTTTCAACTCTCTTGTTGTGTTTCCTGCACACTGTACCCTCCTTCTTGGCCAATTAATGTCATGATTTCAGAAAATAAGCAAACGACTCACCAGAAGTTTGTCAGCATACTGTTTTCATCTGAATGAATACTTCCACAGAGATATACCCTCCCCTAAAGTCAGGTGAGAATACAGTTGTTGACTATGAATATACATAGCCCAAAAAGAGAAAAATATAAATTTGAAAACTTTTGTTCAATATTTATGTAAACATTAGTGGACATACATTGTCACACTGGTAGGTCTCAGAGCCCAGCTTTGAATTCAGAAGACTTACAGAGGGTCAGGGAAAAAGATGTTTGTTTTTGACATTGGAAGGGCCCCGGGAGTGTTCTGGATATTATAAACAAACTTCAAAAAGTTCATGGAGGGTAGGCATGGTGACTCACGCCTGTCATCCTATCCCTTTAGGAAGCTGAGGCAGGCAGATCATTTGAAGTCACGAGTTCGAGACCAGCCTGGCCAACATGGTGAACCCTGTCTTTACTAAAAATACAAAAAATTAGCCAGGCATGATGGTGGGTGCCTGTAATCCCAGCTATTCAGGAGGCTGAGGTAGGAGAATTGCTGGAACCTAGGACGTGGAGGTTGCAGTGAGCCGAGATCACACCACTGTACTCCAAACTGGACAATAGAGTGAAACTCCATCTCAGAAAAAAAAAAAATTCATTGAAAATTGATTAAAAAGTAAATATAAAATTTATTTCTCAATATAAGCTCCATCAAATTTAAGTAGTAATACCGCCATTTTGTTCATCCCTGAAGAACTAAGGGTCCTGAGAATTTAACCATGTCAACACAGTCTTTTTTACATTATTAACTAAAGAAAAGTGAGTGTCTTTTAAAAAGTTTTTTGAGATTAGGAAACAAAAAGAAGTCAGAAAGAACCAAATCAGGATTGTAAGGTGGATGCCTAATAATGTCCCATCAAAACACTTGCAGAAATGCCCTTGTTTGATAGGAGAAATAAGCAGAAACATTGTCATGGTGAAGGACTTTCTGAGGAAGCTCTCCCAGGTGTTTTTCTGCTAAACATCTGGCTAACTTTCTCAAAACACTCATAATAAGCAGATGTTATGATTATTTTATTTTCCAGTAAGTCAACAAAGACAATGCTCTAAGCATTCCAGAAAAACTGTTGCTATGACCTTTGCATTTGATGAGACTGCTTTTGCTTTGATTTGACCACTTCCACCTCTTGGTAGCCATTGCTTTGGTGGTGCTTTATTTTCAGGATGATACCTGTAAAGTCATGTTTCATCTCCTGTTGCAGTGTCAAAGAAATGTTTCAGGATCTTGATCCCACTTGTTTAAGTTCTATTGAAAGCTCTGTTTTTATCTACAGCTGATCTGGGTGCAAGGGTTTTGGCATTCATTGAGTGGAAAGTGTGCTCAAATTAAATGTTTCAGTCAGAATTGTGTAAGCTGAATCAATTGAGGTGTTTATTGTGTTCGCTGTTTCTGCTGTTAATTGTTGGTCTTTTTCGATTAGTACATGAAGAAGATTAACCTTTTCCCTGAAAATTGATATAGACTGTGTGCCACTGAGGGTTTTATTTTCAACATTGTCTTATTCCTTTAAAAAACAAGTTATCCTTTTGTAAATCGCTTTGTAAAGCACCAATGACTTTATCATTCTTCCACCCAAGCTGCACCGTAAATTTTTTGTTTTTGCTTCAATTTTAGTAAAATTCATGTTTCTCTGATAAGCACTCTTTTCAAACTAATGTCTTCTTATTCCTAGTGCCTCAAATTAGACCAACCATTCAGATATGTCACAACAAGTTAGTATGAGTTTATTTTTGGTGCAAAATTCTTAAACTCTATGCATAGTTTTTTCTTCATAATTCACATTTTCCATAAAATTTTTGAAGCTCTCTCATAATATAAATAACCTATTGTGGAAAAGAGTAAGTATATCAATGGCATATATGTAAAATATTTTCTTCCTGGACCTAGTTGCATTGTCACCAAGAAATAATACTGGTCATGTGCAAGCTATTTTCATTTGTTTTATGTTTAGTTCAATATTTACCCATTGTAAAAAGAGAGAGAATCCTCATTCTGCACTTCAAAGGTGGTAGAAATTGGTTTGCTAAAATCTACCCTGGACTGCTCTGTTGAAGCCTTTGATTTCCCTCCCTCTCTTACCACATTTTCTAGCATAAGTATTAGCTAAATTTGGTCCTAACCACGCTCTCAACTGGAGATTGGAGATGGCATGAGTAGGAGAGTGACTAAAAGTGGGATAGAAATTTATTCTGTGTTGATTTGAAAAGGAGAAATGTGCTTCTTTTCTACAATGAAGGAAAATAAGGCTAAAAACTGAGATTTGTTAATAAAGTGACTTTCATAATTAATGTTCTTGTGCTTTTTCTTATAACCTTGGGAAGGGGTAGTTAAGTATTTTGAGATATTTTTTCCTTACTACCTCTTAAATAAGTCTGATATTCTGACACAGCTTTATATGGTGATGCTGTAGGAAATAAAATATCTGGGCTGTAAAAAAGAGGAATACCTGCTCCATATATCATAGTCCTTTCCCACTGATGCCCACCTGGAGTTAGTTAACAGTATTCTACTGAGGGGAAAATTTTCTAGAAGATCTAGGCAGTGACCAGCAATAATGTGAGAAGTGCCCCTTAATGGGGGTAGGTCAACAGGGAGACACCATTTGCTGAGATGTTTCATGCATCTGATGAAAACACTGTTAAATCAAGTTTAACGTAAAGCTGCCTCCTAACATATTTTAAGTTCAGCCTAAAGGTTTCTCTGCACATCGTGAACTATAGATAACCTAAATGGAATTTCAAACAGACTGTAGCCTGCTCTTGTGCCAAAGTTTTGGCCAATCAAATGTGGCCAACTGTTCAAACTGTGTGCAAATAAGGTGAATGTGTAGCTATAACCAATCTAGCTGTTTCTGTACCTCACTTCCATTTTCTGTATGTCACTTTCCTTTTTCTGTCCATAAGTCTTCTTCCATCATGGGTCTGCACTGGAATCTCTGAGCCTACTCTGGCTTGGGAGGCTGCCTGATTCATGAATCATTCTTTGTTCAATTAAGTTAGAGTGGTGATCATTAAAAAATCTGGAGACAACAGATGCTGGAGAGGATGTGGAGAAATAAGAACACTTTTACACTGTTGGTAGGAGTGTAAACTGGTTCAACCATTGTGGAAGACAGTGTGGCAATTCTTCAAGGACCTAGAAATAGAAATACCATTTGACCCAGCAATCCTGTTACTGGGTATATATGCAAAGGATTATAACTCATTCTATTATAAAGACACATGCACATGTATGTTCATTGCGGCACTGTTTACAATAGCCAAGACCCGGAACCAACCCAAATGCCCATCAATGATAGACTGGACAAGGAAAATGTGGCATATATACACCATGGAATACTATGCAGCCACAAAAATCAATGAGTTTGTGTCCTTTGTAGGGACACAGATGAATCTGGAAACCATCATTCTCAGCAAACTGACACAAGAACAGAAAATCAAACATATATATATATATATATATATATATATATATCTTTTATAAAATATATCTTTTATAATATAAAATATATATATATATATATGTATCTCTTTTAAATTTAATTTGGCTATAGTTTTTATTTTTAAATCAAAACAACCAATTCTACATTTCCTCTGCAACCAGGACTGATACTCTGGCACACAAAATAAGTTATGCAGCCTCATGTCGAATACTGTGAGATATTAGTTGTATGTTTCCTGAAAGTAGAGTGCAAGTTCCTGGAAAGGAGAAGCTTGACATTTTCTACATTTTCTATTTCCATTTTTTTCAGTGGTGGCTTAAGTTGTCTAAGTTTGATCAATTTCTTCTTCTCCTCAAGTCAAGAAACTTTAACAACTCTTCTCCTCCTCCTCCTCTTCTTTCTCCCCATTCTTCTTCTCCTCTTCCTCCTCCTCCTCCTCAACCCTCCTCCTCCTTTCTTCCTCCTCCTCCTCCTTATTCCTCTTCTTCTCCCTTCTCCTCCTCCTCTTCTTTCTTCTTTCTTCTTCTTCTTCCTCTTCCTCTTCTTCTTTTATGAGACAGCAGCTTGCTCTGTCACCCAGGCTGGATCTTGGCTTACTGTAGCCTTGACTTCCTGGGCTCAAGCTATCCTCTCCTCTGCCTTCTGAGCAGCTGGAACTGCAGATGTGCACCACAACACCTGGCTCATTTTTTTGTTCTTTGTAGAGACAAAGTTTCACCATATTACCCAGGCTAGTGTTAAATTCATGGACTCAAGCAATCTGCCCACCTTGGCCTCCCGAAGTGCTGGAATTACAGGTATAAGCCAATGTGCCTGACCAGAAATTCTTTATATCACAATGCTGAGATGAATCATGCATGATGATAGTAGAGATAAAAAGGAACCCTGGAATAAATTAAGATAATTCTTGTTAACTTCCTTTTTGCAGGATTAAGATTCTATACAGCAAATGAACTGATTTGTACACTCCCAACATTCTGAATAATTTGGTACAAGAATGAGATATCTCTACACTTAATTCTAAGGGCTTGCAACTGCTCCTGCTTCTCACAATAAGGACATACCCTACTTTTCACTCAAACCTAGCTTTAGTTAATAGTAATTTTAACACTCACACTCTCACTTAACTTTCCAAATAACAATATTAGGTGGGCTTTTCACTCCCATTTAATACCCAGAGAGATTAAAGACCATGTCAAAGGTCATCTAGTGCATGAGCAGCAGAATTGAGACTTGGATTTTTTGATCCCAAAGTCATTGCTGTGTGCATAACTACCTGGCTAGTACTATCTCCTACTATTTCCTTAACATGCAGAACAAAGTGGACCTCAGCTTTACCTGACATTCCCCATGTTGTCAAAGTTATGCCATGATCATGATGTTTATTCTTCCTAGATGCCTGTATCTTTAAACTGTTCTTGTTTAGTAAAATTAAATTCATCTTTAAGGCTCATTTCATAAATGGTAATCTCCATGTAGTCTTTTGTTATTGGTCCTTAATTAAGTTATTCATTGATATTTCTTGTATTATTTTGTCAAAACATATTGAGACTTGTTTGAAGGTTATCTGGTGCTTGGCTTAAACCACTGCTATTGTTGTAATGTGTACCCCAAAATTCGTGGGTTGGAAATGAAATCCCTGATGCAACAGTGTTTCTAGAGGTGGGGCCTGATCAGAAGTGATTAGGTCATGTTTGCTGTTATGAATAGATTAGTGTTATTATTGGTGGAGTATGTTAGTTATCACAAGAGTGGGCTTCTTATAAAAGTGAGTTAGGCCCTCTCTTGCTCTCTCTCACACCCTTTGCCCTCGTGTATTTGGCTGTGGGATGTTGCATTTTAATGATGCAAATCTTCCAATCCATAAGCATAGGATGTTTTTTCATTTATTTTTGTCATCTCTGATGTCTTTGAGCAGTGTTTTGTAGTTTTCCTCGTAGAGGTCCTTCACCTCCTTGGTTAGATGTATTCCTAGGTATTTCATTTTATGTATAGCTGCTATAAATGAGGCTGCATTATTTATTTGACTCTCAAGACTGGATATTGTTGGTGTGTAAAAATTCTGCTGATTTTGGTACATTTATTTGCAATTTGAAACCTTGCTAAAATTGTTTATCAGTTCTGGTAGCCTTTTGATGGAGTCTTTAGAGTTTTTTTTAAGTATAAAATTATATAGTCAGACTTCTTTACCTATTTAGATGGCTTTTATTTCTTTCTCTTGCCTGATTGCTCTGGCTAAAGAACCCCAGTCTCTCTGGCTTGTAATGTTTCAGCCGAGAGGTCTGTTGCTAGCCTGATGAGGCTCTCTCTGTATGTCTCATGACACTTCTGTCTAGCTAACTTTAAGATTTTTCCTTTTGCATTGACCTTGAGGAATCTGGTGACTATGTGCCCTGTGGATGGTCATCTTGTAGAGCATGAAGTGAGGATTTTCTATATTTCTTATATTTGCATGTCAAGCTCTTTAGGGATATTAGAGAAATTTTTGTGAATTATATCCTCAAATACATTTTTCAAGTTGCTTATTCTCTTCTCTTCTCTCTCACAGATACCAGTGAGATGTATATATCCTCTCTTTATATAGTCCCATGTTTCTTGAATTTTTTTATTTTTTAAAATTAGTTTTTCTTTTAATTTTTGTCTGACTGAGTTGATTAAAATAACCAGTCTTTGACTACTGGTTTTTTCTGCTGTTAATACTTCTGATTGTATATAAAATTCTTTCAGTAAGTTTTTTAGCTTTAGAAGTTCAGTTTGGTTCTTTCTCAGGATGACTATTTTTGTCTTTCAGCTCTTGAATTGTTTTACTGGATTTCTTGGATTGAGTTTCAGCTTTCTCCTGAATCTTGATGAGTTCCCTTGCCATCCAGACTTGAATTTTATGCCTATCATTTTAATCATTTCCAACTGTAAATGAACAATTGCTGGGGAGCTTATGTACTTAGAGGTAAGAGGACAACTGACCTTTTAAATTGCCAGAATACTTGCACTGATTCTTTCTCATCTGGGACATTTGGTGTTCCTTTAACAGTGGTTTAAGTTGATAATAGTCAATTTTCTTCATTTCTGATTGCTTTCAGAGTACCAGAACTCTGTACAGGATTTTTATGTGTCAGTGAAATCGTTCTCTTGATTCCACAGGTGTATACATTAGCGGGGACAAATTTTTGATGTTGCAGTTTGGGTTGTGAGCCAGTAGATGGCACATAAGAGTAATGGTCCATAGCTAGGTTAGTATCCCACCTATTACTCTTTTGCCTTTCCTTGGGTTCACAGGTATGCTCTGTGGTTGTTGGGGGAGAGAGATGGCCCACTCACCAGGTTTACTCCTGGGCCTTGGGGTAAACTCCTCCAATTGCTGGTTTTGTACCTGCATTTATTTTTGTTAGGTGTTCCTGGCCTTGGTGCTCTTTTGGGCAGAGGCTGTGGTTGGAAAGAATACCACACTCTAAACTGGTCCTGCAGAAGGAGGCACACCCGGCTCCTATCCCAACCCAGGAACCCATGCATCTTGCGTCTTTCAGTGCTATGTGGGTGGAGGCCCCTCCCTGGCTTGAGTGCCAGCCACGGATCACAGCTCAGTACTCCTGAGTTGCACACTACAGTTTTGGGGCACGGGCACATCTTGAGCCTCCTGTTGGGGTTCTGGTTATGCTGATGAATCCAATGTGCTCCTGGGTCACTGACAAGGTACTCAGATGCAGCCCTCAGGATGGGCTTTAGGGGCTGCACTGAGCACCTGCTCCTGCGGAGTGCTAAGCATAGACCCTAGGAGAGGTCAGCAGGCAGGATGGCTTGCAAAACAGACATGCCCCATTCTCATGGAGAAGCTGCCCCCACTCTCTCCTGGATTCTAGGTCAGATGGGGCCTATGGCTCCCAGAAAGGCATAGGACCTCTTGGGCATAGCAGCTCTCTGCTGCAGCTGCACAGGGCGCAAAATCTCCTGGGCTCTGTGCTAGCTGAAGGCCTGTCTCTGCCTGCTCCCAGAGGAGATCCCCCTGCCAGCTCATAGGTCCACGAGCATGATCCCCTATAGCTGGGATTCCAGAGGTCCATGGCAAGAGTAAGCTGGCATTCAGTTCCCTCACTCGCCCCTTACCCAGGAGCCGTTACAGGCCAGGAACTAGACCTGGATTTTGGGTACCATGTGCAGGGTTCCAAGATTCCTCCCTCTTCAGCCTCAGCTTCCTCAGCTTCAGCGTTGTCTCTCCATCTACTCTCAGCATTTTCTCTTGAAGATCTGCCTGAGTTCCAGTGGTTTACTGGATAATGTAGTCTGTCTCAGTGGTAGTGGCATTTCTTGGCTGCGTCTAGTTGGCCAACTTGTCTGAAACCTCTTAGTTAATACTTTATACATTTTTTTCTCTTTTTTATTTTTCCTTTTTTTTTTTTTTTTTGAGACTGAGTCTCATCCTGTCTTCTAGACTAGAGTTCAGTGGTGTGATCTTGGTTCTCTGCATCCTCTGCCTCCCAGGTTCAAGCGATTCTCCTGCCTCAGCCTCCCAGGTAGCTGGGATTATAGGCATGTACCACGACACCTGGCTAATTTTTGTATTTTTAGTAGAAGTGGGTTTCACCATGTTGGCCAGGGTGGTCTTGAACTCCTGACCTCAAGTGACCCACCTACCTGGGCCTCCCAAAGTGCCAGGATTACAGGTGTGAGCCACTGCACTCAGCCAATATATTTTTTTTTTTTTTGAGACGGAATTTCACTCATGTTACCCAGGCTGGAGTGCAATGGCGCGATCTCGGCTCACCGCAACCTCCGCCTCCTGGGTTCAGGCAATTCTCCTGCCTCAGCCTCCTGAGTAGCTGGGATTACAGGCACGCACCACCATGCCCAGCTAATTTTTTGTATTTTTAGTAGAGACGGGGTTTCACCATGTTGACCAGGATGGTCTCGATCTCTTGACCTCGTGATCCACCCGCCTCGGCCTCCCAAAGTGCTGGGATTACAGGTGTGAGCCACCGCGCCCGGCCTCAGCCAATATTTTTAAGGCACTTGGGACTATGAACCTGGTTGAAAATAAGCATTCAAAAGTTTCAGCTTATATAATTATTACTGCCTTAGTTTTGCACCACAGTCCTCTCTAACACATAGAACAACATCTGCATAGCAACAAAAAGGTGAAAACATATTTTTATGTTCTCCTTTTATATGGAGTATGAATGTGTTTTTTTGTAATCTTTTTTTAAATCTAATTTGAAGTAATAGAGGACAATTGTGTACGTAATTAAATTATACTTTTTTAAAAAGAGACGAAATTGTATAAATGACATCATTTTCTTTATTTTGATTTCTTTACAACTGTGCTACTCTTGTACTCCAGTATTCCCCACTCAATGCTCGTCTGCTATTCCAGGCAGTTTCCTTTTTACTAGCACATGCCTATGATCCTACCAGAGTTTTAAGATGTTGAGGGATGTACAAAAGCACTTATTATTTTTGCATGTGATGTTAATAGAAGGATAGGATCTTCACTATGGCAGAAAAATCAATCAACACTCAAGCTTATAATTAAATGAGAATTCTGGCCAGAACCCAATACCTTTTTTTAATGATGGAATTCAAAACCTTACTATTTAAATTTAATCATCAAACAATATATAGAGAAGATGGAAGGACTTGACTCAGCAGATGTTCATATAAAAATTTCCTATCTAGAATATTAAAATTACTGTTGAAGCAGGTACTCTGGTTGATAAGTTCAACACCAATTCTTTTTCATGGCCTTGTTTTGTCAGCCACCCTCCCTGCTATGAGTGGACACTCATAGTTCTTTTTTTTTTTTTTTTTTTTGAGACTGAGTCTCTGTCATCGAGTATGGAGTGCAGTGGTGTGACGGGTGTTGAGTCAACATTTCTGGTTCATGAAATGTGAATTGATGTCTATGAGGAATGAGATTCTTGGTAAAGCTTTTGTTTTCTTTATTAATAAGACAGCTATTGATGGTGGCAACCATTTCTCTCTTCCTTTTTGTGTCTCAATGGTTATAATGCCTGAAATTGCAGCATGAGGAAAGGTTAAGAGAATGAGAAGATGGAGTTAATATTTTGGAGATTAGCTGAATCAAAGCTAGCAGCATCTATTTCTAGCCTTCTCATTGTATACAGAGGTGAAATCTTTCTTGTTATTGCCACCTTTATTTGGAATTTTCTGTTACTTGCTGCTGAAAATATCCATAATCAATATAACTATTAAACACAAGAAAAGCTTATAGTAATCAGCTACTAAACATCAAATATAACTTTAGATTGTATTGCTGGAAATATAATATATGGATCCTTGAAATTAATGATATAATATTCAACACATCTTAAAATATGTGATGTTAAAAAAATTACAATGTAGGTTTACATATCAAGAGAGTTAATAGTAGAAAGTCAGTTACTTCTTTTTGAACTTACAGTATTTCTTTCTCTTGTATACTTGTTAGCATGAAATGTTCATTAAATGACTTTAATGACCAAATATGATGTGAATATTTTTTATCATGTACAAGAAAGAGAGATAATTTATATATTTTTAATTCTTCTAAGACCTTTATATGCCCAAAGGAACATGTAGAAGCAGTGTAATGTAATTAAAAGCATTATGTTTGAAGTCACATAGGCTGGGGTTGAATATTAATGTCATCATTTTTTAACTATGTGACTTGGGACATTTGTCTATTTTCCCTGAGACTTAGATTTCTCATCTGTGAAATGGGAATAATAATAGTAATTAACTCACACAAATGCTGTAGGGGTTAACCAAGATATGACAGCTTGACACTTAGTATAGTAAAATGTTGTTGAGTGTGAGTTATGAAGGTGATAATGTCTTCCTCTTCCCATCTCTTAGACAATAATTTGTAGATCTACCTCCTTGCTTACACTTCCACAAACCCTCTCTCACTTTTAGCTGAAGACTTTGCTTCCTACTTCACTGAAACATTGAATTAATCTAAAGAGAACTTTTATAGACTCTCATTAGCTCATCTACCCACCTCTCAGCATCTGTTTCCACCTACTCTGTCATCCTGCCTGTTCACGTAAATGAACTATTTATGCTCCTATGTAAAGTTAACCACCCCCTCCTTTTATATTTGATGCTATTTCTTTTGGCATCCTCCAGGACACTGCAGTAACAATTTTTCCTTCTGTCCTATTTCCTCAAATTTTCACTCTTTACTGGACCATTCCCCAAAACTACAAGCATATTATTTTTTTTTACCATATTATAAAAACAAAACAAAATTAACTTGATGCCTCCTCAAGTGCCAGCCACAGTTATTTCAATTATTTGCTTCTTTTGACAGCTTTTAGCAATACTGCTGATCTTTAAATCCTTTTTACCTATTCTCTCCTAAATCTACTCCAATCAGGTTTTTGGCAAACTACACCAAGACAAATCTGGTAGCAGCCATCAATGACCTCTGCACTGCCAAATCCAATGATCAATTATTAATTATCATTCTACTCACCTATCAGCAATATCTGAGCCAAAGGCTTACTGTACACTCTTTGATATATTTTCTTCATTTGACTTTCAGGTCATCACACTTCCTTAGTGTTTCTCCTAACTTTCCTCTTTCCTCTCCCCTTTTTCTCCTCATTCCTGAAACGTGGAATGACCGAGAACCGTTCCTCAGTTATTCTGCATCTTTTCTTCTCTCACTCCCTTGATGTTACCTCATGATTTAAAAATAGCATTTATATGCCAGTGACTCTCAAATTTATTTCTCCTACCCAGTTCTTCTTAACTCCAAGCTCATGTATCCAACTTCCAATTCAATAGCTACTCTTGAAATACATTCAAATTGTAAAAATCTACACATCCCAAACTTAACCCATAGTCTTTTCCTCAAATGCTGTTCCAAATATAACCCTCTCCATTTCAATTGATAGCAACTCCATATTGCTTGCTTTAAGGCAAAAAGCTTTTAATTATTCTTTCTTCTTTTCTCCCACAGCTCACATCCTCTCTTTTAGGAAACTTTGTTGTCTTGATCATTAATATATTCAGAATATTTTACTACATACCACATGATCTGTTATTAGCATTTGTACTAAACTCTTTCCTGGATAACTGCAGTAGCTTTCATCTGATCTCCTACTTTTAACCTTTTTCCATTTATAACCTATTTCCTACCCAGCTTCCAGAGTTATCCATTTTATTTAAAGCTTTGAGTAAAAGCACGTCATAACCATATTAAAAATCCTGCAAAACTTTCCTGTTTAATCAAAGTAAAAGTCATTAAAACAGCCCTTAACCTGGCTTCAATTTTCTTTTTCTTTCATAGAATTTTTCACTGTGTAACATCATCTATAATTTATTTTTATGTCACATTTGTGTTCTGTCTGCTTTTTTCATCATTTCATGCATCAACATTGCTTCTACCTACAAGTTTTTAAAGTAAGCTTTTCTGATGTGTGATTTTTTTTTTGATAATTAATTATAGGGAAAAGCTAAGTTATATTACTTTTAAATTTGTCATATTTATATCATAGCCATTGCAATAGAAGAGAGAGATTGAACTCAGCTCTGCTGAAACTTTTTAATTGCTATCATGAGCTAATGTAAAAGTACAAGAGGACACTGAGATGGAGGAGGTTGGTTAAAATTATTAGGCCATTTGTGTTTGCCAGTTGTCACTTAATCTAAGTTAGGTTTCTACCTTCCCTCAAAAACTAGGAGAAGGAAGCCCACTCTTTTCTGATGATTTAATGAGAAAGACATTTCTAGGTTGTAGAAAATTTATATCTCTAATGGGCAGAGGAGTAATCTACAATTGCAAGTTTTCTAAACTTAATGTTTTAAGCAAAGAGAAGACAGGGACTGAAGTCAGAAAGAAGCTTATTTAAATTTAGTCAAGTTGAGGGGAATTTTAAAACTGTCTCAGCCAATAGTAGGATGTAGCTGAAGACAGTTGCACAACATCTACTTAGATTGGTTTATATTCCATTATTCATGAAGATTAACATTCTCCATGAGCTATTTGCATGCTCTTTTATTTTAAAAATGGTTTGTGCCTAATCTTGTTTTATTGAAAACAACAAAAAAAAGCTGACTTCACAAACATGTTGTTGTGATCAACACAGTAAAGATAGAAAATCTTATGATTAGGAATTTAACTGGTCTTAGATGTATCATTTGAAAGACCTTATGAAATGAAACATAAATGCAAGAGATACAGCATACTCAGGGCTTGGGGATGATCTGTGGCTGTCTCACACTGCAGCTTGGCATGTATTGTAATGGAAATTACATAGATTTGTTGCAAATTACTGTGATATCAGGAAACATTTCAATCATCTCTCTATCTTCTTTAGCCCTAATATCATAAGACTCATATTAGATTGGGCTATTTAGAATACCATTTGAAATTTGCACTAATGATACAAAAACTAAATTCACAGTTGGAGGAATAATTGCCCATTTAATGGTTTGATTGATCTTTCTAAAGCACCTTGAAAATATTTTTTAAATTATTATACTGCTTGTAGTTTCATTCTCCCTCTACAACCATATTCTAACTCAGCACAAGCTATGTTGTCTTATACAATACCAACCTCAAACTTCGAAATAAGCAGCATTCTCTACCACTTCTCTCAATGCCATCTTCAATTCACCCACAAACAATTTATCTCTATGTCATATCTCACCCTCTGCTTGTATGTCTGTACCTCACAGAGGGTTCCTTCTACCCAGGAAACCACCCCATCCAACCGTCCTCTGCCTTAGAAATTCTGGTCATTTCCTACATGTCATAGAGTCTGGAAGGCCTTTCAGATCATCAGACAAAATGAATTGCTTTCCTCTGTGCTCTGCAGTCACTTGTGTTTAATCATTACAGCTATTATGTCAGATTATAATCATGTGTTCACTTGTCTGTATTTGACATTAGGCTAAGAGCTCCTAGAAAACAAGGATTATACCTGTTAGTATGCACCATGGTGCCTGATACACTTATTTAATCATTCTAAATTTATTAATTCAGCACATAATTGGGATACCATGCTGGGTATATGGAGGCGAACACATACCCTCCATGAATTGCACATTTCCTGGGCAAAGGTGAAAACAAATGTGATTCTATGAGTATGTACAAAAAAATAAAACTGGAAGAACCTTTCCAGAGAAGAGTAATTTCATCTGGAGTCTGAAAAATAAGGTATGTTACCTGCAGGGAAAAGATCAAGTTCAAAGGAGGACAGGGCGTGCATGATCAGAGAGCTTGGTGCCTAATACTTACTAGCTGTGTGATGTTATACAAGCTATTTAATTTCTGTGCCACAGTTTCCTCCTGTATAAATTGGCTTTAATGGTAACCACCAAGAAGGTGGTTGTTATAATTAAAATGGTAAATATTTGTAAGCTATTGTGAATAGTGCCTGTCAACTAAAAAGCACTATGGAATGTGTGCTATGAAAGAGTCCATGAATGTCACCCAGAATATATTCTTTTGCTATGCAAATTACTTCAAACTGAGCATACTTGGGGAATGGTAAATGCAGAAAGGGACTTTCTCTGATTTTCCCCTGACTGCCTAAAGACAGGTCCTTCAAAAGGAACTGAACTGTATAAATTCTCTTTCCAGGAATCTCATCAACCAGGGAAGATCATCTTGTATCACAGGAGAAGAAGTAGAGGTCCACATTATGCCCAGACAGATTTTTCACAGGCTTTCACATATTTTTCTGAGTTGCTATTCATCTTTACAAAATCATTTACTCTCTTCTAAGTTGTCTACTTGTCCGCTTCACACTTCTCTAGGAAGATTTGTACCTAAGCTTCTAGATCTCACTGGGTTTTTGAGTATTTAGTTTACTTTCATGGAATGTTCCCATGCGTATAATAAATTTGTACATCTTTTCTCACAGTAATCTGCCTGTTGTCAATTAATTTCATGGACTTAATTACTGATCCCTCAGAGGGCAGATGGAAAGTGTTATTCCTCCCCTACATCTGCAATATAGAATTTAATAATTCTAAGAATTGAAAGAACGTCATTGTGGCAAGGATGCTTGGACAATTTCTAATGCTATGTAAGTTTAGGCTGGAGAGGTAGGAAGGAACTCATCATATTAGAGATTCTGGTTTTAAATGTGATAAAAATGGGAAATTATGAAAACATTCTAAAGCAGATTTACTCTTCAAGGTATCATATTGAGCATATGACAGGTATTTAATACATTTTGTTGAAGGAATCAACAACAGTGTAGAAAAGCTCTAAAGTTGTAAGCAAATGAACTACTTCCTACAACTATATGAAGGATTCAACGAGAAAAATGTATGTTAAGGCCTGATACTTAGAAGCTTGCCATTGGAAGATTTTTAAGTTAGGTTTAGTATTTTATTATCTAAGTCTAGATTTTTGCCAAAGCAATATATGTGTGTGTGTGTGTGTGTGTATGTGTGTGTTTGTGTGTGTTTAGATATGTTCAAGTCAAAACTTGGCAACATAGTAGATGACATGAGTAATTTCTGAGCAAGTCACTTCAACCTCTTCTGTTAAACTGAAATAATAAGGATAAATTTTAGGATCAAATGAGGTAGTGTATATACAAATATTCTATATACTCTAATAGTTTATTTTTCGTTTTTTGTTTGTTTGTTTACTTGTTTTCTGAGACAGAGTCTCACTCTGTTACCCAAGCTGGAGTGCAGTGGTGGTGCAATCTCAGCTCGCTGCAACCTCTGCCTCCTAGGTTCAAGTGGTTCTTGTGCTTCAGCCTCCCTAGTACCTGTGATTATTGTACGCCACCACACCCGGCTACTTTTTTGTATTTTTAGTAGAGACAGGGTTTTGCCATGTTGACCAGGCTTCTCAAACTCCTGAGCTCATGTGATCTGCTCGCCTTGGCCAGCCAAAGTGCTAGGATTACAAGCATGAGCCACCACACCAAGCCTCACATTTTTATCTTTATTTTATGTCATCACAGTACAAGGCAATACTCATGAATCAAATGTGGTAAGTTGTATTGATGTTCAGAAGAAGATCAGAGAAGCTGTCTGGAAGCTGCAGCTTGGCGAATAGGTAGAGGGTAGTTTTCTAGATAAAGAGGCTATATAGTAGAGTGGAAAGAGAATAGAACATGAATTCACATATATATGGTTTGAATCAGGATTCCACCACTTAGTGGCTATGTGACTTTATGTAAAGTTCTTAATATTGTAGTGCTTTAGTTTTCTCATCTGTAAAATGGTTATAGCAGGGACTCTGCAATAGTACAGTGAGATATTGTTTGTTAATGCCTGAAATGAAATTGTCCTTCAGATGAATCTTGGAGGAGTCAGCAGGGCACAAAGGGTAAAGATCTGGCTTTGAATTCAACTTGAAATCACATCCTAGTTGTATCTCTACAGACTTTTCATACTTTATTCAATCTAAATCAGTTTTCATGTAAATACTTTGCCCAAAGGGTTAAATACAATATTTTGTGTGAAATACCAAGTACAGTGAATGACACTAAAAAATAAACTAGATCCTCACAAATACTATTTACATATTACCAGCAAAATATAGAAGATGAGAAATGGCAACAACAAAAACTAGGGCACCAGTGCTCTTCAGGATAGAGATGATTGACTTTTTCCTTGAGGCATTGAGGAACAAGGAAACGTTTGGAGCAGCAAAGTAAGTGATGACTTTTCTTGCCAAAAAATGGAAGCTATGAAGAAAATAGAAGAGCTAAACTCTGGGGTTCATAAATCAGGAAGCAACACATAATGGTTTAGCTCTGCAACATCCGACACAAAAGCCATTCATTCAGCTTGAGATGTCTGATTATTTCACCCAGAGTTCACTGTTACACTATGCCATTCTAATTAGTTATCTCTGGAGAAGACATCTCATCAGACAATATGATTAGATCCAATCAGCATAGATGCCAAGCAGTCGGAACATATTATAAATGACATTTTCATTTATTTTATAGCATAGTTGTTTGTCTTGGCATTTCTAAAATGTGAACATTCAAAGAAAGTCTTTGAAACAGTATTTCAGGATAGAGGGTTAATGATTAAGAGGCATAGGGTACTTCATGTAAGAAAACTGTATTTTAACAATTACTGCTTGGTATCTCAAACGGTGACTTATACTTTCCTTTAAAATCTTTTCCAAATACCCATTTTTCTACCTAAATGAGGCAGAGAGCAGTGAATAAAAGTCTGAAACACCTGGAAAAACCTTGAAAGGGATGTAATTATTACTATCAAATGTAAAATACACCATACAACAATAAAAATAAGAGTTTAGTCAAAAGATATGGGGTACCTATTTGGGCCAAGTTTTAGGGAAACAATATCGAACTGGACATAGAGTTTATTACAATTTATTGTTTAATTGTAATTTCTCACACTAAAACTTGATAAATGACATAATAATTCGAAAGGGTCCCAGAAGAAGAATATTAAAAGAGTTATCAGTGAACAGGTTTGGCTTCTTCCATATGTTCTCATACATGTTGATGGCCCACTTTCAGCCCCTGCCATGCTCTGACTGAGGGATTTCTCTAGCTCTACAACCTGTCAAATGATCATGCTGAATAAATGACTGTGCAGGAAATGCTCACAATCAAGGACAATAGGGGAAGGAAGACGAGTAGCCCAGCTTCCTTGCTTCTCGTATGAGGTTATTCTGATATGTGTTCTATATTGTATCCCAAATGTTCGCAGCAGAATCGAGTATCCATTGGGTAACATGCTCGTTAATATACTCTTTATTGTCTCCCTTTCCTTCTGTCTCACTCACTACTAACATTTGTCCTGGGATTGTCTCCTGAATAAACCAATTACACTCAAATCCTTGCCTAGGATCCTATGGATGCCCAAGTTAAACCTTCCTGGTAAAGAGAAGAAACACACACACACACACACACACACACACATTTGAGTTGAGAAAAAAGCATGACAGAATCACAAAGGTAAGAGAAAGTGTAGAGCAACTGAGAAACTTTCAGTATGACTGGAGTGTAGAAGATTGGGGGAAAGTAGCTAGAGTAGAAGCCAGAGTGGCAAGTGGGAACAGTACCTGAAGATTCTGAAAATATTGGGAAGAAGTTTGGATTTTATTTTAAAAGAACTAGAAAGATCATGGTATCTAAACCAGGGGAGTTGCATTAGAGATTGAGAGAATGGATTTGTGAGGGATTCCGGAACTGGAGTTGACAGCAATTAGACAAAATGGAGAGATATAAAGGATAACACATGGAGTATTGACTCAGGTAGATGGTCATGTTTTCTAAGTCGGGGGGGGGGGGAGTTTTAAAATTGTATTTTATATAAATTTTCCTCTTTTGCCTATTGCAAGATGAATGGTGACTCCTGGAGCTCTTCATTGCAGGGCCCCATTGGCAGCTCTATTTAATGTTGAGATAAGGGAGATAGGAGGATAAGCAGTTTAGGACGCAAGAGGAGATGGGTTAAATTTTATATGTGTTGAATCTAAGATCCCCATGGAGACTTTAGTAGCTAAATTGATTTGGTGCTCAGGAGATAGGTTTCAGCTGAAGGCAGAGATTTTTTTAAAAACAATAATCAGCAAGTATGTTGAAAACACAGGGGGTAATGAGATCAGGGACAATGTAAGAAGAAGATCTAAAAGAGAGTTCTGAAAAATCCTGGCATTTAAGACAGCACTTAAAATGAAAGAAAACACATAAGAAGAAAAAGACATGCAAAATATAGTAAGAATGAACACCAAAAGGGTAGAAGAAGTCTCAGAGAGTAATTCCACAGAGATCAAAAGAATGGAATGTTACAGGAACTAGGAAATGATCAGCAATGTGACATGCTGGCAAAGTCATAAGAAAAACTGGGAAATATCTACTGGATTTAGCAATGTCTTGGCAAGAACATTTCACCAAACACTTGACACAGATGCCAGATATCTGAGTGCTGAGTAGTAATAGGGAAATAGGAAAGTCTATATAACGTTTATTCATACTTGTTCCAGAAAGTTTGGCTTACGCAATGATAATATGTATCATTATATCCAATACTTGTTTAGCATTTGATTTTCTAGGCATTTACAAATGCTTCATGTATATTACTGTTTAGTCTAAGCTATGATATAGGTATTAATATTACAGAGGAAGAAATCACATTTAGGGCAAATGAGTTGTTAAATGTTAATAATAATCAGCTAGTAAGTGGCAGATCTGGGATATGAACTTAGACAGTCTGGCTGTAGAGCTTCTATATGAGAGAGAAAAGAGAAATTGACCTAGAGGAGACCTGATGTCAAGAGAGACTTATGGAAAAATAGATTTGAATATATGTATTATGTATGCTGATGGAAATAAGCCAGTAGAAGGGGAATATTTGAAGAGACAGGGCTATCAAGAAAACCGTTCACAGGCCAGGTGCAGGGGCTCATGCCTGTAATCCCAGCACTTTGGAAGGCCAGGAGTTTGAGACCTGCCTGACCAACATGGTGAAACACTGTCTCTACTGAAGATACAAAAATTAGCCATGTATGGTGGTGCTTGCCTGTAATCTCAGCTACTCGGGAGGCTGAGGCAGGAGAATCGTTTGAACCCGGGAGACAGAGGTCACAGTGAGCCGAGATTGCACTACTGCTCTCCAGCCTGGTGACAGAGTAAGACTCTGTCTAAAAAAAAAAAAAGAGAGAGAGAGAGAGAGAGAGAGAGAGAGAGAGAGAGAAAACAGTCCGCCATCCAGATCATGGGTGGGGTGATGAAACTTTGGCAGGAAAAGGGACACATATTACACATTCTATTGTTGCAGAAGAGATGCATAAGATGGATACTGATGTTGATCTGTTTGATGCAAGGAAACAAAGATTTTTTTAGTAATGAATTCCATTCAAAGAAAGGACATTGGCTGAGTATTAGACGGTGAGTGAAGGTGTCAGGGATTAGAAATAAGTAGACATATTTGATATATTAAAATATATTTTGCCATTAAAAGTAACAGCAAAAATTGCAATTAGGTTTGCTCCAACCTCATAGTTTCTGTGGTAAACAAAAGATAAACATGGCTAAAGAAACACAGAAGTTTTATGACAAGTTGAAGTCTCATGGGAGAGAATCATAAATTTTAGTGGCACCAATCTGAGTAGGGTGTTATTTCTGTACTATATTTAGCATCTTGGTGCAGAGAAGGCAGATAGATGAAACTGAGTGTCATTTTTGTTTTGTTTGGGTGGGTTAGGGGAAACGAGGGTAAGGTGAAGTATGACAAGTCAAATAAATGGGATTTCTCAGAATATTAGCAAGAATGTTGTTGAAGTGGAATCTCAGATACACAGCGTGGGAGATTTAGTCAAAAAGAGAAGGTATAAAGAACACAGATATGTACTTGTGTGCTGGAGGTCCTCAGGAAGTTAAATGACTGAAGACCTGGGGATAGGTTGGTAAATAAATAAGAGACTGTGTTTGAAGTTGTAGGTACCTGAATTTATAACATAAGAGATAGAATATATTTCAAGTGATGACAAACTCAGAGAGAAGTTTTAAAAGTGAGTCATAGACCTGAAGACAAATAGAAAGGGCCTGTAGAAAAACAAAGCAGAGAGCTGAAGAGCAGAATGTTGTATATGTCAGCAGATGGACCTTGAAATTTCTTAAGAATTTGATAACACAGAGGGCAAAGAAAAGCTTGCAAACCAGGGGCTTTTCGTTTTATTACTATTTTTTTTTAAATAAATGAGAGTGAAAGATCAGTAAATGGAGAGGTTTTTATGTACATCAACAAACTGGCCTTGACATAACAGGAACAAGTATTGTTGTTGTTTTAAACTTTACAAAGGTCCTGCTATAAATACAGTGATAAGAAAGAGCAGCTTTAGGACTTTCTTTTCCAGGCATGATGGAGTTCCTGACTCCACATTGATTCTCCCACAGTGAACAACCCCAAATCCTGGCAAATGTAAAAAGGCCACTGGTTTCAGATACTAGACAGTTAGCATAGGGATGTAATTCCTGAGTCAAGGAAAACACATGAGGTGAGCTCTACAATTACACTGGTTTTCTTCCTGGAGGCTCTTGGAAGCTCAATGAAGTAGACCTATGTTGAGCAGAGGATATGGCTAAGCTAAGAAGACAGAGATCAGAATTTGGAGTTACTGAGGACACCAGATTTCCAGGCTACCAGAAAAAAATAAGCTATATAGAGAAGGGGCCTCAGAAATCTGCATAGGAATGCTCTTGATGCTTCTATAAAATATTGAATATTTAATGCTCAGGGTGATTGATATGGTTTGGCTGTGTCCCCACCCAAATCTCATCTTGAATTGTAATTCCTATAATCCTCACATGCCATGGGAGGGACCCGGTGGGAGGTAATTTAACCATGGGGGTGGTTACCCTCATGCTGTTCTCATGATAGTGAGTGAGTTCTCACAAGATTTGGTGCTTTTATAAGGGGCTTCTCCTCCTTTTGCTTGGTGTATCTCCTTCCTGCCACCATGTGAAGATGGATATTTATTTCCCCTTCTGCCATGATTGTAAATTTCCTGAGGCTTCCCTAGACATGCTGAACTGTGAGTCAATGAAACTTCTTTCTTTTAAAAATTACCCAGTCTGGGTATGTGTTTATTAGCAGTATGAGAACAGACTAATACAGTAAATTGCTACCACAGAGAATGGGGTGCTACTATAAAGATATCTGAAAACGTGGAAGTGACTTTGGAACTGTGTAACAGACAGAGGTTGGAGCAGTTTGGAGGGCTCAGAAGAAGAGACTGGAAGATGTGGGAACGTTTGGAACTTCTTAGAAATTTGTTGAATAGCTTTGACCAAAATACTGATAGTGATATGGACAATGAAGTCCAGGCTGAAGTGATCACAGATAGAGATGAGGAACTTGTTTGGAACTGGAGCATTCTTCTTATGCTTTAGCAAAGAGACTGGCAGCATTTTGCCTCTGTCCTAGAGATCTGTGGAACTTTGAACTTGAGAGGGATGATTTAGGATGCCTGGTAGAAGAAATTTCTAAGTGGCCAACCACTGTGGAAAGAAATTTAGAAATTTCTCAAAGAACGTAAAACAAGCTATCATTTGATCCAGCAATCTCATTGCTGGGTATATATCTGATATGGTTTGGATCTGTGTCTCTGCCCAAATCTCATGTTGAATTGTAATCACCAATATTGGAAATGGGGCCTGGTGGTAGGTGATTTGTTCATGGGGGTGGATTTCTCATGAATGATTTTGCACTAATCCCTTGGTGCTGTTCTAATGACAGGGAGTGACTTTTTATAAGATCTAGTTGTAGAAAAGTGCATAATACATCCCCCACTTCTCTCTGTTTTGCTCCTTCTCCTTCCATGTAAGATATGTGTTCCCCCTTCAACTTACTCCATGATTGGAAGCTTCCTCAGGCCTCCCAGAAGCAGAAACCACTATGCTTTCTATACAGCCTACAGAACTGTGAGCCAATTAATCTTCTTTTCTTATACATTACCCAGTCTCAGGTATTTCTTTATAGCAATGTGAAAACAGGCTAATTTAATATACAAATGGACACAAACTGTTCTACCAAAAGGACATGTACTCTCGTGGTCCTCACAGCACTATTCACAATAGCAAAGACATAAAATCAACCTAAGTG